TCTACCCGACGAACGCTCTGAACAATGAGGAAGTCTGTTCTGTGATGATCTCACGACTCCTGAGGTCACAGCTGTTCTTACGGAGACGCTGAAAAGAGTTGAAAGAAAACTCTACACCGGAGCCGAAACTATCGTCTGCAAAGGTAAAAGAGTCGATCTCAACTGCTAGTGTACCGTGGATTAAGCTGCGTCTAAAGAAGCGTGCTGATCTGGTTATACAGACACATTCCCTCACCCATCTCTCTCCATTTAAACTTCATTTTCCCATCTTTAAAACTCTTCTATCTGCCAGTAATTAATCCAGATATTTTTAGAAATGTCTGTTGTATTTCAGTTGCAAGTAAGACATCATGGCCGTATGATTTCTCATTGTAAAGCTCATTAATTAAGCTGTGTTAATTGTAATCAATCTGTCAATTAATGTAAATGTGTGATGTGTTTTAAATCGTTTTTAATTAAACGGCTCACTATTGTTGGTGAGTCAGAAATTTAAACACGTTTCCGTCCACATTTAATCATTCAAGGCACGATAGTACTCAGTCCAGAAAAATGAAAGAATCCGTCTAAATAAAGGATAATATCAGACGCATATTATCTCTCATTACAGCTGTATGCCATAATCATAAGTATTAAAACAATTAAAGACCTGAAATATTTCAGTTTGTGTGCAAAGAATCTGAAATATATGAAAGTTTCATTTTTATCATTACATTATGGAAAATAATGACCTTTATCACAATATGCTAATTTTTTGAGAAGGACCTGTACAGACCCTTTCCAAAAAATTTGAATATCATGAAAACGTTGTTTAACTTCTGTAATTCCATTCAAAAAGTTAATCTTAAATAGATTATAGATTCAGGGCCCACAGTTTAAGCAATTTCAAGTATTTATTTGTTTATTTTTACATAATTTGGGCTTCCAGCTCATGAAACCCACGAATACAGGATTTCAAAAATTTAGAATACTGTGGAGAAATCAGCCCAAATTTAGCAGAGCATGAATGTTTTAAACTGAGTGTGACACACTAATCATCTACTAAACTCAAAGCACCTGCACAGGTTTCCCCAGGTGTCATTAAATTGCTTCAGTTTGGTTCAATAGTCTCAGTTCGGTTCAATATGGGGAAGACTGCAGACATAACAACTGGCCAGAAGACCATCATTGATACCTTCCATAGGATGGGTAAGCCACAAAAGTTCATAGCTAATGAGGCTGGCTGTTCACAGAGTGCTGTGTCCAGGAATATCAATGACAAGTCTAGTGGAAGGGCAAAATGTGGCAGGAGAAGTTGCACCAGCAAAAGAGATGACCGTGGGCTTCAGCGAATTATCAAACAGAGAAGATTCCAGAATCTGGCAGAGATCCAGAAAGAGTAGAATGAGGCGGGAGTCACAGCTTCCAAAACCATCACATTCAAACGCATATGGGAGATGAACTATAACTGTTGGGTTCCTTGGTCCTCTTTTCCGATGAAAGTAAAGTGTGCCTTTCATTCAGAAATCAAGGTCCAAGGTTTGGAGGAAGAAGGTTGAAGAACAGAGCCCATACTGCTTGGGGTCCAGTGTGAAATATCCATAGTCAGTCATGATTTGGGGCGCAATGTCCAGTGCAGGTGTTGGAAACTCTGCTTTCTTAAATCTAAGGTCACCGCAACAGTCTACCAGAATGTTTTAGAGGACTTCTTGATTCCTTCTGCTGAGGATCTGTATGGAGATGCAAATTTCATCTTCCAGCAGGACCTGGCCCCTGCCCATGCCGCCAGAAGCACCAAAACCTGGTTTGATGCCCATGCCACAGTGCTTGACTGGCCAGCCAACTCGCAGGACATAAGCCCTATTGAGAATCTATGGGGTATTCTCAAGAGGAAAATGAGGTGCACCAGACCCAACAACAAAGAGGAGCTGACAGCAAGCATCAAGGAAACCTGGGCTTCTATAACTCTCAGACAATGCCACAGGCTGATTGCCTCAATGCCACGTCACATCGAGGCAATGATTAAGGCAAAGGGATTCCCAACCAAGTATTGAAGATTGACATCCTTTTGAAAGTACCATATTTTGATTGATTTGTTGTAATTGTAGTGTGTCAAGGTCAGCTTTGCTGTACCTTACTACTAATTATTTAAATATAACGGGTTCTCTCTTTTTCAAGTTAAATTTCTGCCATGTGACCAAGATAACTGTGAGTGGAGTGTTTAAATCAGTGACAAGAGACGTTAATTTAACTTTGACCCATCAGAATAAATGTGGTCATTTATTTAACAGACTCAAAATTTAACATCAAAACATGTACACGTGATTAGCTGATCTGGTTCTGATTAATAAAACTTGGCACGCTTTACTAATAAGACAACAAGACATTTCTGAAGGCATCTAGATTATTGGCAAAATAGAAGAGTTAAGGGAAGGAATGGAGAAGTTTAAAAGGAAGATGGATGAGGGAAGATGTATGTTTGCTGACCAGAATTAGCACGCTTCTTTCAACACCAGCTCAAACCCCCGGTCCACTTAGTGCGTGACAACTCGTGACGTCTCTTTACCTTTGCAGATGATGGATCAGCTCCGGTCTAGATGTCCCTATGCACACTACCTTTACAGCGTCTCCGGTCAGGGTGGCTGGTCATCGTCAGAAGTCGTGTGGTTTACTCCGTTCAACAGAACAAGCTTCCTTCGAAGTTGTAGGGCGTTACACCCGAGTGAGTTCACAGCGAGGCGCTGTGACTCCGCTGGGATGGATGGACCCTCTTCTCACGTTCAAATCCATCAGCTATTGATTAAATCTGAAAGTTCCTTAGGAACTCTCAATAAGACTCAGTCATAGATTCCACTCAGAAGTAGAAGACTCCATAGTCCCAAGAAAGACTCAGGAAACTGGAAGACTAGACTGGCTAGACTGAAAGACTCGACTCGACTGAGTAGTTCCAGGAAGTGTGGACTTTTAAAGAGTTCTCACTTCCGGTCACTCAGGACTTCCTGATTGGTTGAAACAACCAACAGGGGGTGTGTTTCAGTGATGTCAAAGGGTTATTAAAAGTCAAAAAGACAGCAGGAATGTTTAAGAACATTTAGTACAGACAGAGAAATGTTTTGAAGGAGTGAGAGGAACGCAGATGCCAGTGTTTCTCTTTTTACCGTCTGCTAGGTTTAAGAACAACACAGCCTGTTCTAATAACTTCCCTCTGACTGTCTCCGACTTTTGACCGACATCACTACTTCTCCTTTAGACAGAAAATCAAAATGCATAATTACTTTGTAAATAGACATTTAAATTGATTTCTAATTTAAATGAGGTGTAAAAAAAATCATTAATACTGTTTCACAGTTGATTTAAAATGAGTGGTTCACTTCAACATTTAGAAATGGTATGAACTAAACACACTTTTGATTATCAAGATATTGTAAAATAGTAATGATAATATAAAAGAAGAGTGTTCTTTCAATTCATTGCTTCAGGATACAATTAGACAGTCTCTGGATGAGCTAATTTGTATTTCTGGATTCAAATCAATGAAATAACAGTTCCTGTCCCCTGAAGGTCTTCAGAGGCAGGTTTTGGTCGGAAGCCGAGTTCACTACATAATCCTAACTTGTTTCTTTTTTATCTGCAAAAACTGAGTAGTGTGGGCCGATGTCTTCACAGTATTCTAATTTTTTGAAATCCTGTTTTTGTGGGTTTCATGAGTTGGAAGCCCAAATTATGTAAAAATAAACAAATAAATACTTGAAGTTGTTTAAATTGTGGGCCCTGAATCTATTAAAGATTAACATTTTGAATGGATTTATAGAAGTCAAACAACTTTTCCATGATATTCTATTTTTCGGAAAGGGTCTGTATATATATAATGTTTGTGCGTGTGTGTGTTTTTATGTAAACTTCATGAGAATATTATTTCATCTAAAGCAGGGGTCCCCAATCACCGGGCTGGGGAACAGTACCGGACTTTGGATCATTTAGTACCGGCTGCAGAGAGAAGTACAATATGTGTAGTTTTTTTATTTTACTTTTTTGTTAGTCTTCATGGTATTTTATTTTTAAAAAATCAATCACTTCTGTTTGCGCAAATTTAGCGCTTCCTTGACTCTGAGTTCTATTACATAAACCACAAAATATTAATGATATAACAAAATATAAACTTATAAGTATATTTAAATTATAGAGGTAATGTTTAAATTGTATTTGATGTAGTTAATTGTATTTTGTTATGCATGTGAGCCCCCCTCATACTCGCACACCCTGTTCCATGGAAAAATGATCTCTCATAAAACCGATCAGGAGTGCAAGACAGGTTGGAGAATTCTGGTCTGGAGCAGGCCTCCAAGTTTTTCCTCATCTTGTTTAAGGGTCTATTTTTGATTTTAGCTTGGAGGCTCGTTAGCTTGTCGCTATGCTCATTAGCTCCCAAGATCACAAGCCGTTCCACTTTGCTGAACAACTTTTTCTTCCAGCAGTTTTACAGCAGCCACCACCTCGGGCAGCTGTGGCCAAATGGCTAGAGCAGTCGTCCTCCAATGCAAGAGTTGGGGGTTCGAATCCACCAGCAGTCACATGCCTAAGTGTCCCTGGGCAAGACACTGAACCTCTCATCGCCACTGATGTGTGTCCCATCGGTGTATGAATGTGATCTCAAAGCACTGATCAGTCTCTTTAGAATGATTTGTTAAATTAGCTTTGCAGAAATCTAGTAGAGTGCTGTATGAATGGGTAAATGAGGACACAGATTGTAGTGTAAAGCACTTTAAGTATCTTGATAATATAGAAAAGCGCTATATAAGTACAGTCCATTTACCATTTGCCTCCTTGATGATGATACTGAACTTTGTCACGTGACGAGAATAAAGAACACAAATATAGTTAATCCATGTGGAAACAGCTGGTTGTAAATTATCAATTATAAATCAAATTAAATCTTTTTCTTGCTGTTGGTGTTAGATTTCCAGCAGCAGGTTTGTCCTGCGTACCGTGTCGTTATTTACTTTGTTCCTGGGTTCTCTTGTCAGGCTGATTCTTTTAAGATGGGAGCTGAACAATGGAAGGGAGCCGACACTTTAGATGATCTGCTTGGATTGTCTGGAGACCTCAGGCAGTCGGTGGGCCAACATGTAGAAGCAGGAAGGCCAGCAAAACCTGCTGAAGCTCCTGAAGGGGGAAGGAATGAAGACAGAGGAGTATCACCATCCATCAGCAGGGAAACAAACAAAGATCTTCTGTCAAGGTTTTGAACACCCCTTTTGTTGCAAAGATTTTTCATGTTATGTAGTGCTCAATGTGTTGTGAACAACTCTCTACTACTACCACTCCTACTTTCCAGACTGTTGAGCACACCTGATATAAGCCACGCCCACTAAATTTAAAAATAAAATAAAATTTTGTACATAGACTACATTTGTCTATAAGCTGCAGGTGTCCACATTGTAACATGAAGATATTTACATAGAAAGATTTTTTACAACTTTTAATTAAATACGTACCAGTAACATACATAAATACCAGTATGTACAGTACAAAAAAAAATTTCTGAACAGTGCCTGTTTGACGGCTGGTTAAAAAAATACTGTATCGTACCAAGAAGTCATTGATCGCTATCTTCACCTGTTCAAGCTTGTGCTGTCCTCCATCACACAGCTGCCTTTCAAAACAGGAAGGGGGAACCCCTCCCTGTTTCAAAAGGCGGGGGGGCGGGGGGGGGTAGTTTCCTGTCCCCATTCTCTCCTCCCTTCCATGTTTCATTGGTCCACTGTGACCTGTTCTGTAATTTCATTGATCAGATTTTTTAAATTAATTTTATTTACTGTATAAATAAAGGTTGATTGATTATACAGGTAGTCTCATTGAGTCATGAGTAGGGTTGGGCGTCGTTTGAATTTGAGCGATTCCGATTCTTCGTTTCGATTCCGGTTCCTATTGATTCCCGGTTCTGATTCTTTTTATAGGCGGAGTTAAAAAAAGACATGTCAATTCAATTCAATTCAATTCAGTTTATTTATACTGTATAGCACCAAGTCACAACAGAAGTCGTCTCAGGGCACTGAACAGAAATATTCATATATAAAATAACTTAACAGAACCTTTCATATAAAAATAAGTTAACACTATTTATCTGAGGAACAGACTGCTTTGAATTTAACTCCATCATGTTATAAATGAGCTAAAGTAGTTAGCCAGAGTTCTTTCTGGATTAAATAATTTTAACTTTTATTTGAATTTTTATTCTAAGAACTTTTTACTTTTTGTTAAATTTACTATGAATTTCTTGCCCGTCTATTTTCAACCAGTATATAAATATCAAACTTATGAACTTCATTATGTTATGAATTTTCTTTTCACATGAGTACACTTTCACAATAGAGCTTTATTTTTGAAAACCTCATGGAAACACCTCCTGATGCATGCTCAATAATCCAGGTAAAAAAATAAAAAAATAAAAAGTCTAAAAAAGTTAAATCTGGTCCTCTGGACATTCAAAAAACAAAACAAAGCAAACCAAGAAAAAAAATGTAGAAACGTTTCGTCTTTCATCCGAAAGACTTCCTCAGTCTGGAAGAGCTGTATTCAGCTCAGTCTTATAAATAGCACCTTCTCAGAGTGGATCAACCAGTTTGCTGCTAACAACAAAAACCAGCTGCTCACATGATCAAGAAGGACCATCAGCCTAACAATGGATCATTAGCACCCTGATGGCTGTTTACTATTCACAGAGTGCTGAGTGATACTAGCAATAACAGCATTGTAAAAGGGGGACAGTTGAACCCGGAGGCCTCCACCCCTGTTTAATGATGGACGATTTCTTTTCACAAAGATGGCCTCCTTTACTCCTCTCTCAAACCATTGTTCCTCTCTATCCAGGATGTGAAAATTTTCATCCCTGAAAGAGTGACCGCTGGCCTGGAGATGAGTTTAGACCGCAGAGTCCTGGCCTGATGATGTTGATCTTCTGTGCTGGGCCATCCTTTTGGCCAGTGGCTGTTTAGTTTCCCTGATGTAAGACTGATCACAGCCCTCCTGACACTGAACAGCATACACAATATTACTCTGTTTGTGCTGGGGGACTGGATTTTTGGGATGAACCAGTCTTTGCCGTAATGTATTTTGGGGTTTAAAAGCCACTGGGACGTTATGTTTAGAAAATAAATGTCTCAGTTTCTCTGATGCTCCCGCAACATATGGAATGACCACTGGTCTAGGTCTGGGTTCCTCCTTTTCACCTGATGGCTGACTGGAGTCCTGTTTTGGTTTCTTCTCTGCCTTCAGGAAGGCCCAGTTAGGATATCCACATTGCTCTAGAGCCTGTCTTGTGTGGTATTTATTCTTCTGCCTAGCACCTGAGTTAGTGGGGATGCTGTCTGCTCTGTGGTACAGAGTCCTGTCGAGGAAAATCAACACAACAACTCAGACTTTTCAGCCTATTCACCTGTTCCTCTCATTGGTTCGGAGATACATGGAAAAAAGACACAATAATCAGTCGGAGAGATTCAAGTTAAAAAGTATTACCAACATTTATTAAAGCTTTCAGCTGAAAGGAGACGCTCTTACCCCAAACCAACAGAGATACAACAAAAACCCAAGACGCGTCTGACCGGAGCTTTAGTTCCTTCTGTATTTAAACACAAAAGCTCCACCCAGAGATGTGTCACACATTCTTACAGTTCTTTGTCTAATCTAGTTCAAACTGATGTCTTCATTTCCTGGAAGTCCTATTATGGAGTTGTTTTATTATTTTCTTCTGCCGTTCCAGTTTACTGGTGATCTTGTCATCAGGTGGGACACACACCAGCAGCTCCCTGTTAGTTCATGTCCCGTACACAAAAAACTCAAATACATTCTCTGACTTAGTTCAATCTATACTTGCTGATACCAAAAGGCAAGCAGATCCAGAAGCCAAGCAGATCCAGATAAAGGACAAGATACAGTTGTGATACATCGAGCAATATAGCACAGCAGATAAGAGCGTCTTTACAGTCGTGATGACTCCTAAATTTTGCTCCAAAGGGTGATGGGAGTCAAACTGCAAATACTGGTCTGTGTGAGTGGGTTTGCAGTACGCCTCAGTTTGCAAATGTCCTCTATCAGAGACTGAGACCTCACAGTCCAAGAAAGCCAACCTGCCATTTTTTACATCTTCTCGTGTGAACTTGATGTATTTATCCACAGAGTTGATGTGGTCAGTAAAATTTTGGACTTCCTGAGATTTAATTTTAACCCAGGTGTCGTCAACATACCTGAACCAATGACTTGGTGATGTCCCTGAAAAGGACGTCAAGGCTCTCTTTTCTACTTCCTCAATGTACAGGTTGGCAACAATAGGAAAAACTGGAGACCCCATAGCACACCCCTGTTTCTGCCTATAATATTGCTCCCCATATGTGAAGTAGGTTGAGTGCAGGCACAGTTTCAAGAGTTGACACAGTTGTTGGTCTGTTTTGATGTCACATCACTCTTTACGTGCATTCCTATTGATGATGCAACCTCCCTTTTAAAAGGAAGAAACCTCCAGCAGAACCAGGCTCAGGACAAGCGGCCATCTGCTTTGACCGGCTGGTTGATACATCATCAAATACATCAGTTTAAGATTAAAATCAGACACCACTCTGAGCAGCAGGACCACGCTTTCCACAGAACAAATGGACAGAGAGGAATGATGGTTTGAGAGAGGAGTAAAGGAGGCCATCTTTGTGAAAAGAAATCGTCCATCATGAAACCGTGGTGGAGACCTCCTTTTTCAACTGTCTCCCTCTTACAATGCTGTTATTACCATACCATACCATACCATACCATTTTATTTATAGAGCACTTAAAACAGCCATCTCCAACCAAATTGCTGTACAGACAGGAAAAACGGGCAACACACAAAGCAATATACATAATATAAATATAAATGATATATATAATATAAATGAGGTAAATCAGAATATAGACATAAAAACGATGCAGATAATAAATATGACGACTAATCAGTGTGGAGCATACAGGTTCAAACACAGATCATCTGGTGTTGAAAGCTACTGAATAGTAGTTGGTTTTTAAACGGGACTTGAAAACCGAGAGGGAGGGAGCCTGTCTGACAAGCAGAGGCAACTCGTTCTAAAGTCTTGGGCCTGCTACAGAGACGGCCCTGTCATCTCTGCGCTTAAGACGAGTTCCTGGAACTGTGAGGAGCAACTGGTCCGCTGACCTCATGGAATGTGGTGGGACATAATGTTAGGATTTTCTAGGCAGGAGCGAACCCACTAGTGCAGACAGGGACTCAACTCGGCAGAATACAAAAATAGGTATTTAATGATAAATAAAGATAAAAAATAACAGGCTGACGGGGCTGTAAAACTTGCATGAACAGGAAGATAAGGCACGGGAAACTCAGGAGGACTCAGGGGACACGGAAGACTCAGGGAACTCGGAAGACTCAGGGGAACACAGGAGACCCAACGAGTACGACGCGACAACGAACAAGACTGACAGACGGCTTATATACAGGGACAAGACGAGACGTGATTACGAACAGCTGTGACGAGACAAGGGTGGCACTAATAGAACTAACGAGGGAGCACTAGGGAACACAGACACAAACCGGGCCACCAAATGGTACCATCCTTACACATACGGCTGTAGCAGATCAGAGAGATGGGGGGGGGGGGGGGGGGGG